TTATTATTATTATTATTATTATTATTATTATTATTATTATTATTATTGTTATAATAATAAAAATGATAATAATAGTAATAAGCTTGTATGTATCGCACAGTCGTGCTCAACAGCAAGCTCTATTTGCTTTATTCTATATCATTATCCCAGCACACCCTATGACATACAGATACATTCTCCCCGCGAGGCAAAAATCTTGGGTCACTGGTAAAGTGACCAAACGCAAACTGATGGGGTCTCTCATGGCCTAGAGATTAAGGTGTTCACCTCTCATTCAATAGGTCCCGGGTTCGAATCCGGATAGCGGCGAACACTTTTCTTCTCTAAAGTTTTCTACTTGCACATCCTTTCCTGCTCTCTAACAATGTTCTCTCGTCTGCTTTCGTCCTCACTTTCTGCCCACATCCCCTCATCTCCTTCACCCCCTCCTCTGGGCTCCTGACGCTTTCTACCACCTTTCTACTGCTTCTCTTTGGCTACTTCTTTCTGCTGTCTTTCAGCCACATCTCTGATCTTATGGTAGGTAAGATCTACACCTAGCCATCTCGGACAATGGCGAAAAATCTCGGAGGTCCCGTGCGCAAGTTACGAACATTAAAGTTAAAGATCCTCTGGTGGTCCAAAATAGATAAGAGCAGGCTTCGGCCGCCATCCGGGCAAAATTCAAAATTTACTACTAACTGAAAATATTTAGAGCGTCTCCTGCGCCCTCATATGACTTTATAAAGTTGCGAGCGCCATTATAACGATTTAGGAAAAACAATAAATTTTAAAATAATGTGTAACTGTCTATAGTGACGTACCCATTCCTATCTAAGTGAAGTGAAAAACATACGTGTAAAGTGTCTTTCTAAGAACACAATCTCGGGCCCCGGACGAAATTCGAACCCACGAGGTTAAAATTGCGAGTTCAAGAGTCTAACTATGAGGCCACCAATTTAATAATAGAATTTATTAAGGAAGTTTGTTATGTTGTAACATTGGGTGACACTGTTGGCTGTGCACAAATGTGGCAAAACCTTCCATATACACAATCTTAAAAAGGAAATACTTTGTGTGTATGTGTGTTCTGTGTGTGTGTGTGAGTGTGTGTGAGTGTGTATGTGTGTGTGTGTGTGTGTGTGTGTGTGTGTGTGTGTGTGTGTGCGTATATGTGTGTATGTTTGTGTGTGTATTTGTGTGGGGGATAAATGAGTGTGTTTTTGACATATTTGTATGTTTGTATGTTTTTGTTGCTTTTTTATTAATATATTTAAAATCCCAAAAACGTAAATTTTTACATACATTTGGCTGGGGACAGTACTTACAAAAGATCAATAGTATACCTAACGCTTTTTGTTGTTAGGACCGTTACACAATGTTGTTTTCTTTTCGACGAGGAGATGTTACAGTGACGGAGTTGTATGATTTAGTCAGCAGTGTTTCATTTCAGAAATCAGGAGAGATAAGATTTTTTGGGCAAGGTGCTTCACATATTGAAACGAGCTATGTGGATACACATTAATAAGTGATACTAAATACCAGCAATTCCATGGATCATTTGAATTATTGATATAACCATGCGTCGGCTTTGTTTTACGGGTTTTGTACACGAACGGAAAATGCTGAAAATACACTATTCTTCTCGTATAGAAAACAAAAGGGAATGTTGTTATAATTTTGACTTCATGTGAAGATCTTATAATTAGTTATTACTGACGAGATCTATTGGTTTGCTTTAATTAAATTCTTGCAGTATCACACTGAAAATTTATATTTCAATTACATAATGAACAGCAGAAAAAAATACAACATTGAATGAAAAACAAAAAGACAATAACGAAAAAAAAAATAATTTGTAGTTAACCGTTGTTTGACAAGTCTTATTTGACTTCATAAAAGTAAAAAGCACAATATTTCAGCTCAGATGCATTAATTGAAACTAAAGCTACTTTGAAATGTTTTGTTGCTTATAGTTGCAAGACTTGCAGATAACTAAAAGCGTACAATGGTGACTTTGGAGCTTCAAAAATATTGTGTAATTGATTCTCTTGTGATAGATCATCTGAATCTCTGTAAATGGTTACTTTTGTGAACTTATCTTTTTATTTTTTATTTTTTTATTTTAGAACATTTTTTGGGAATCTCCCTATCGTGTCAAAGTGTAAATTACATGACGTACTTTAATCACAACTTTTTTCAAGGTAGATCTACACCAAGCTGCAATTACTCACGCTGGTCGCGTGTTTACTGAAAATGCTATAACTGTATTTTCTTATAATACTAAATTACAGCATATAACAGGTTTCTACTTGAACGGGGATTTGCGCTATGCAAATACTATCTATTATCATTATTATTCACAATGTGAAAGGGAAGCTTTTACTAAAATGAGTATAATAATATAAGATGTCCACTAACTTGCGTGTGTGAGGGAAGGGGGGAAGAGAGAGAGAGAGAGAGAGAGAGAGAGAGAGAGAGAGAGAGAGAGAGAGAGAGAGGAGAGAGAGAGAAATAGAGAGAGAGAGTGAGAGAGAGAGAAAGAGAGAGAGAGAGAGAGAGAGTGAGTGAGAGAGAGAGAGAGAGAGAGAGAGAGACTTTTTAAATTCGCTTGTTCGTTTGGTTTGAGGGAGGAGGTTGGGGTTTTTTTCAGCTTTAACTGTTTGTTGCATTTTTCATTCTTAATGACATGGGAGATGTTTCACCCATCGTACTTTTGTTGTTGGTTTGAGTCTCAATGCTTTAGCTTACTTTTGATACGGGTTTTACGGCATTTGAAATACAATCAGGTCACATCTTGCGGAAGGACAGAGGTAATGTATTAAAGGAGAGTAACAAACACAAGAAGGAGGAGAAATAAAGAGGTAATGTGCTTGATAGAAAAGAAGGAGCAAACCACACCAGAGCACCTGCCAACTACTCACAAGAAACAACGGCCCCCACCCTTTCATAAGTTTTCCAAATTTAAAACTATTTTTATGTTCTCGTACACAGAGAACATATTCGTTGGGAATAATTATTATTAGTGAAAAGGTCCAAGTTTGATAACTCAATAAACTCTTTATGAGAAATATTTTTCTGAGTTGTTTCCCTTTTTCCGAGATTCGCTTCCGTTATCACAAGGCCACGATCAGACTAAAATCAAAACTGATTTTCAAAAATCAAAAATGGAAAATATATAGATCTGTAGTGAAAGTTTTACAGCATCTTTAACACAATTAGGAGAGTAAGCCGGATTCCACGTTTAGGCTTTCCCTTTGACATCCACCCTTTGGCGCTCACATGGCCATGGCCTTATTATGCACTTGCTAGCGCTGTAAATCCTTATCAAAACAATAGCCTTTTCATTGTCATCATAAGTATTTACTCCGCATGCTTCAAACAAAAACTCGTATTTTTTCTTCCGTATTCCCAGTTAGTACCGTATGTGAACAGTAATTTCCCATTTTTGCCTGCACGTTGCACCTCGGTGATACATGATAAATATGGGTCTTCCACTGTATCCTTTACTTTCTTTTTCGTGATTAATTAGGTGTACCAAAGTCTGTGGTGTAGAAGTTAAGCTCTTTGCCGTGTCACTCGTTTGACTTGGGTTTGATATTTGAATGGGGAGGTTTGATTTTTACTTAATCAAATTTCCGACATTCAAAGATATTCGCCGCCTAATAACGTTGATTAAAAGGAGGGGGGGTGAGGTGTGTGTGTTTGTGTGTGTGTGTGTGTGTGTGTGTGTGTGTATGTGTGTGTGTGTGTGTGTGTGTGTGTGTGTATGTGTGTGTGTGTGTGTGTATGTGTATGTGTGTGTGTGTGTCAAACCCACACCATTTCCATTTCAAAGATGTTTGAATGAATACAAGTCATTCGTAGAATGTTCAATGGGGCACTGCTGCATTGGACCTCATTGGACGATATGAAAATGGGCGACTCATACCGTGAATTCCAAACGTTCCCAAGAAATTGAAATGGTCATAATGTGAAAAAAGAACCATCAAACAAAATGAAAACAAACAAACAAGAAACAAAACTTAAACAGCGTATACAGATTTTATCTCAAGTTTTTGGTTTGGAAAATGGGCCTCAAGGATCACCCCTATCTTTATGTTTCACAATTAAAAAACACGAAAACACTTAATCAAAGCCATGATGCTAACAGATCGAAATATATCATTGCATTCAAGATTATCAAGACAAAATTTAATAATGCATTATTCAATCTATATTGAAGAGTAATGCACATTAATACAATAACGATGCGTCCTTCAGACCATCAAGAGAGTCATCAGGTCATCGTCGGGGGAGTTGACACCCTTAGTGTTTGCACTGACAGTCAGTGCGTACGCTTGGCATTTGGTGGTGAAGCTGCAGGGTGACAATACCTGTAACAAAAGAAAATACAATTTTAATGGCCCTTCAATAATCCTGCTCTGAGCTAACATTCAAGGGATGTAGCTTCTCTTGGATATGGAAAATACAAATGCAGATATTCGACATTCACAACTCTTCGAGTAAATACAACAGAGACTGGTGACGTTCAACGGACGGAGAGCCCCTTTTACTTGGTGATTTTGGGTGTAATCCCGATTTTTGAGTTGTTTAAATTAAGCAACAAAAATACAAATGTAAAGGCTGTTATTGTTGTGTAGACCTAGTGTGTGCCTATCCATAATGGGCCTGCATTTTTTTTTTCACACAAAGAACGTTTCAACGAAAAGAAGTCTATGTTAAGAAATAGAAATCTGATCCTCAGAAGCTCCAGTTCGGTTTGAGATAATTATGATACTTGAAACTGATTTCTTGTTGTTTTTTATGTTATAAATTAACGAACCTGTATTACTTTTTGACTTCCCCTTGTATAATGACACTGTGAAAGCCGTCAGTTGGAAATATAATACATTAAAGGCTGATACCCTCAACACGTTTTTAGGGGAATCTGTTACATTCTCATCTTTTCTTTTCTTCTATTAACATTGCAAGCAAAACTACCAAAAAGTGGAATCGAAAGGAATTATATTATAAACATTAGTTGATATGACACGTCAGTTGTGAACTGTCAGAAATCTGTTGAACATAACATAGACAGTGTACTGAACTTATTGTATTGATCCTGGTCAGAGCGTCACTCTATTTATTTTCTCCAAATGTTTTTCTGTATCTAAATCAAAGTCGCCCTTTCAATTTACCTGCCTTTCTCTCTCTCACTCTCTCTCTCTCTCTCTCTCTCTCTCTCTCTCTCTCTCTCTCTCTCTCTCTCTCTCTCTCTCTTTTTTTTTTCTTCTTCTTCTTCTTCTTCTTCTTCTTCTTCTTCTTCTTCTTCTTCTTCTTCTTCTTCTTCTTCTTCTTCTTCTTCTTCTTCTTCTTCTTCTTCTTCTTCTTCTTCTTCTTCTTCTTCTTCTTCTTCTTCTTCTTCTTCTTCTTCTTCTTCTTCTTCTTCTCTCTCTCTCTTTCTCGATGTCTGTTTTCTGAGTCTCTTTCTCTGTCTCTATCACTCTCTCTCGGTCTCCCTTTCTCTCTCTTTCTCTTTCTGCCTCCCCCCCCCCCCCCTTTTCCTCCCCATTCCTGTTAGCAAACGTTTTATTAGTGAAACCTTCTATCCATGTTGAAAGTCAACTGAAATTTCTAGTGCAGCAATAAAATTAGAATCAGCAAATTATGTTTATGACGAAACAAACAGAAAAAAACAGGGGATGCTTTGCGAGCCAAAAGGCATTAAGAGCATTAGGAGTATTTTTATGCCTCATCGGCCTCACAACAGCCGAAAATGACGTCATGCGATAAAAGTACCAAAAGCTGAAACGAAAAGCGAATCCCACCGTGATTCAGTGCCAGTTTTCTTGGAAGAAGAAGAAGAAGAAGAAGAAGAAGAAGAAGAAGAAGAAGAAGAAGAAGAAAAAGAAGAAAAAGAAGAAGAAGAAGAAGAAGAAGAAGAAGAAGAAGAAGAAGAACAACAACAACAACAACAACAACAACAACAACAACAACAACAACAACAACAGCAACAACAACAACAATAGCAACAACAAAAACAACAGCAACAACAAGAACAAAAACAACAACAACAACAACAACAATAACAACAGCAACAACAGCAATAACAACATCGTTGTAATTATACAATGGACTAACCAGCCAAAGCTCCCTGGAATCCGGAGTTGTAGTCTGTGGCTACCTCGTTGTGCTGGTAGTCAGTCCTTGAGTCTGTGTAGACGTTTCCAAGGTCAGGGCCGCCTACGACAGCGCCTTGGAGAATTTGTGGGCTGTTGGCATGGCTGTTCAGGTCCGCGCTACCGCACGTTCCGTGAGTGGGGCAGGATCTAGATAGAGTTGAGGTGAGAGAAAAATGTGAGGCATCGTGGTGAAATCAGACGCTCGCCAAAATAATGAAATCCGAGAAATGGGCTTTATTATATTTTTACTTTTCTTCTTCTTATTTTTAATGAGAGGGGGGGGGGGGTGAGTATTCATTTAAAAAATACGTGTATGTTTGGTTTTTAATGGAAGATTGTTGATAAAAGGCAAAAAAAAATTCTAATTTGCAGTTTCCAAGGACTTTTAATCTATGGAAGTCACCAAACTTTGGTGTCCATTTTCATGCAAATTTTACCTCTGAAACCAGACGACCCCCACCTTCTTCATTCGCAAATATTTTAACTTCTATTTAAGATAAATTGATATTTTTTCATCGAAAGCAAGGCAAATGGACCGATAACTCCACATGTTTGAAAATTGACGAACGCCTGATCCCATTGCGTTTTGACACAAATAGAATAAATATATAAAATTATTTATCTTAGAATTATCAGGGAAATGCTGCAATAAGAAGGCAGAGGGAATAGAGATATGTTGATAAAGGAGACATGTGGAGATAGATTTGTTGCTCTGAATTTTACGAGGTGGGAAGAAGTAAGTAGCAGGCCTGGAGGTTCGTTGGCTGGGCAAGGCCGGCGAAGCTGGTTACTTTTAGTCTGCTAGTGGACAAGAGATTGGCTGTTGGTAATATTTTTTATTCAGTTTCATGTAAATCCAAATTAATATTTATCAACATTGAAATAACACTTTCCCTATAAAAATACGCTCAAGAGGAGAATAAGGGGCCTGCCAATGTGTTGTCGCACCACAGAGCTCGTTCCTAAATCTCAGTTTATCTCGCTGGCTCAAAACGTTGTTGCACCAGCTGTGCTGTCACGATGCGTGCCTTTGTATTCCGCCCTCAGCGGTGACATCACCCAGCTCGGCAAATTGAGCAGTTGCCGTCAGAGTGGAAAAAATCAGCAGAATATCACCTTTCTTGCCGATTTGGCTCTCCTGTTGCTTACAAAGGACGAATCTGTCTTTAACAGTACTGCTTATACTTTCATTTGTAATATTCATCATTAAACCTGTCTCTAGAAACGTTTAGTTAACAAGTAAATATACTGTCACGATGACTCAAATTCTTTAGTTTTTGTAAGAGTTTTACGGAACTTGCATCACAATACGGTTATATAAATGCCTAAGATTAGAGATGTTACAAGTGAGTAACAAACACAAAAAAGAAGGAGGAGAGATGAGGACGAAAGATGCTTGATAGGAGAAAGAAGGAGCGAACTACACCAGTGGAGGGGGGATGCAAAGATATAGGTATAAATGTGTCTGTATGTGTATGTGTTTGGAAGGGCGGCCG